AGAGGGATATACCAGATTTAGATTCCAGACTGAAAGGGGAGGGCTAGACCCCCTGCAGTGGAGAACTTTTGGAGAAATCAGGTTAATAATGACCTAATGATCTGTATCAAGTAGCTCTCAGCTGTCCTCAAGAGGCTGGGACACACTAGCATATAGCAAGGGACTCAAATATAACAATAACAATAAGAATTCTAGCTTCTTATTAACTTCATTTTACTGATAAGGACACTGAGACAAGCCAAATGACTCATCCACATCCAGCTAGTAAGTGGTACAGCTGGGGTTTAAACACAGGTAGCTGGCCTCAGTGTCTGCTCTTAATCACCACCCACGCCACCTCCCAGGGTTTGCGCCCTATTTTCAGTCTCTAAATTATTCGAGGGTTCTCCTAAGAGTTAAAAATATTTTTTTAATAGTTAAAAGCTTTTTTTTTCCTGCTTTAGTGACTAGTTAGACTGAGAAACTTCTATTAAATTGGATCCCTCTTAGATGTGCTTAGAGTCTTCATCCTGCCTACAGAAGTGAGAGACATAGGCATAGTTAAAATAACCTACTATGGCCAATATTTAAAAGAAATTATTCATAACTCATACCCTTGACTTGGGCTAATATTAGATCCCAGTCTTTGACACGTTTCTTCACACCTACTCAAGAAATGTGTTCTTTGTAGCTTGAGAAGGACTATATGTATTCATAGCAGTCCTTGGGGAGGAAGGTAAATCAACCACACCACCCTCTGTGAAAGGATGGGTTCACTGATTGCTTTTTTTTTTTTTTTAAATGAGCACAAGGAAGAAAAAGCTTAAAAAACCAACCAGGCAACAGACAAAATCCTAATGTGTTCACCATGTACATGCCAGCAACCTGCTACACTGATGCAAAAGCAGTGGCCCAGGACTACTCTTCTGACTGCCAGTGCAGGTGGGAGCAGTGGGCCCATAAGCTGCCCTACCTGCCTCACTGGCAGTTAAGCCTTTGGTTCTTCATTTGAAAACTACAAATTTTAGAGTCCAAAGGAATGTAAGAAGCTGGTAGCCTCAATTCCTTCAAGTTACAGCTGAAGAAAACGGAAGTGAACTTTGGAGACCATAAGCATGTAAGGCAGAAGAAAAAGAAACTGAAATGTCTGGGAATCCTTTTGCCCCATTTCAGAAGGGAAGGCTCTTCCATGTTTAGTTTTGACTTTTCCTCCCATTTTCCAAATTTCCCATAATATGATTGCATTAGTTCCAACCATAGCCCCTGTTCACTTCTCCACCAGATGACATGTGGTTCCCAATAGACTAAAGACGACTCAACCATGTGATGTGGCTCAGGCCTGTAATCCCAGCACTATGCGGAGGCCGAGGCAGAAGGATTGCTTAAAGCCAACAGTTCAAGACCAGTCGAATTTTTTTTTTTTTAATTAGCTTGACATGGGGCATGAACCTGTAGTCCCAGCTACTCTGGAGAATGAGGCAGCAAGGTTATAGTGAGCTATGATATTGCCATTAGGCTGGGCAACAAAGTGAGACCCTATCTCTAAAATAAGTAAAGACTACATTAGCTCCAACTCATCTTAAGCTCTCCTAAACATTCCTTTTTTCCCCATTTGCCCTTATTTATTCAGGTTGTGGGAAGAGGGCTGTTCCCATTTGCTCATATGAACTGGAAAAATCCAATCACTCAGTCATATTGCTTCATTTATAACAAGAGCAAGTATATATGGACCAGCCCCATTCTAAGAGTTTTCCAGATACAACTCATTTAACTCTCAGTATATCCCTATGAGGTAGGTACTATCATGATTATGATCCTTTATCATAATTTATCCATCCTAAGGATGAGAAAATCAAGGAACAGAAAAGTTAGATATGCTCCACAACCGGTAAGCATTGCTAGGGACTAAGAAGTTCCAGAATGACTACTTTCCTGAGAACCTGTTTCTGTCTTTTTGGTGCGAAAACTATTTCATGGTGGATGAAGACCCATGAGAAAATCCCTTGGGTCATACAGAGTTCCAAATCCCTATGCTGTGTTGGGTTCCCAGGCGTGGATTTCTAGACTGCTTAGGGAATCTGTGATTCTTTCACCTGCCAGCTGCAGTTAACGGTCACCGCTCAGTGCTCCCAGCTTCAGCCTTCCCATCCCAACTCTCCATTCTACTTTGTCATTTCCAATCCATTGGGTGATGGGAAATCAAACCACTCAGCAATAGCATTCCGAATTTAAACACACACAATGAATGCCTGCTAACTTCATTTCTGACTTGAAGTCCTTATTTATTTATTTATTCATTTATTTTGAGATGGAGTCTCACTCTGTAGCTCTGGGTAGAGTGTTGTGGCAACCTCAAACTCATGGGCTCAAGCGATCCTCTTGCCTCAGTCTCCCGAGTAGCTGACACTACAGGCACCTGCCACTGTGCCTGGCTAGTTTTTCTATTTTTAGTAGATGCAGGGTCTCACTGTTGTTCAGGCTGGTCTCCAACTCCTGAGCTCTCACCTCGGCCTCCTAGAGGGCTAGGATTATAGGCATGAGACACCGTGTTCAGCCAAAGGTCCCACTTCAAAAAATAAATTAGAAATCATGGTAAGAGACCCTGCAGGAGACTCAGCAGGAGTTCTGGATCCACTCTCCCACGTGGAAAGGGCGTGGACTTTGGCACAGGCCCTAGCAGCAGCTATGCTGACACATCAGAGACTTCTTTCACTCTTCCAGGTGTTTAAATTCTAAGCCGTTACCAGACAAGGGCCTGCTGGATAACTGAGGTGTTCGCTGACAGAATCTCATTTCATTCCCATGCCCACAGGGCAGAGAGGACCAGGTCCTGCCTTTTCCAAAGAACATGCCCAGAGTCACAGGAAATCGGCATCCATAAGATTTCCCTGAAGGAAGTAATTTGACCTGAGACTCCCCAGACCCAGTAAGCACTTCCATTTGGCTCAAAACTCAATTTCCTTTCATAAGCTGCTCTGCATAAACCCAAACCTGAACAGGTGCACACGCCTTCCTTCACTGAGGGAGCTTACCCTCAACCCCTGGTTAGAGGAAGTGGACATGTGCCCTGACCAGTCATACGCTTACCTGGTTCCTCTTTTGGCTCAGAGAAAACATTTCTGAGACAGTCATACTAGACTAGGAATGTGACATTATTACTATAGCATGTTGACTGTGGCAGAGGGTGGGGGGAAAGACCGCAGGAGAAACAGAGAGAGCCCTAAACTGTGGGGGCAGTTAGTTCTTCTAACTCCTCTTCTCATAAACTATTCCATGACCTTGAACAAATCACTTAATCTGCCTCAGTTTCCTCGGTCATAAAATAGGATATACCACCTGCTCTGCTTCATCCATGAGCTGCTTGATTAAATGGAATTGGCTTTTGGAAGCATTAGGAAACACTACCTATTCCTAACAAGCCATGACAAAGCTTCTCTTCGCCCTCCCATGGAAGTGCAGCCCAGGTCATTGAAAAGTTGCACCTACACTGACCGCAAAGCTGTGATACTGCGTTGGCATTCACTTCAGAAGCAGGAGCTGAAGGGGTTTTTACCTGAAGTTAGACAGGTGATAATGAGCTAACCTCCCTGCCCCTCCCTTTGGGAGATAAAAGAATGCTATTGAGGCTTTCGATGGGGTGCCACCAGCAGGCAGAGGGACATCCACATTCCCTCCCTGGACCACAGATCCCTGCAAAAAAAGAATCAGTTAACCCCCCAACTGCCTCCCCTCCCTGTAAGAGTGGAATGATTTCCTGAAATAGTCAACGGTGCCCTCAACTTCAATAGATTTTTTTTCAGCACCCACTGAAAAGTCACCAAATTTAAAAAATCTCTAAAGATTCCAAGTATCAAGCTGCCAGATACAGAATAGAGGCTGGGATCCCATCAAAGTCCTAATAGGCCACTCCCACCTGTCTTATTGGCAAGAACTTATGAACCCTCTCATCAGATTTTTTTTTTTTTTTGGCTGTTTTAAATTACTCTCTTAAGTGGCAGACAGTCATCATATTTTCCAGGAGCAAAGATGGAAAACAGTGGAAAAGGCAATTTACTTTGCCAGGGTTTGCTGTTTTTCACAGCCTGAGCAAAGAGGAAATTTGCCTCAATGACTCAAGACAAAATATACCTCCAAGACTCAGAATCCAGAACTATCAGAAACCTAGAGGGGGAGCCAGCTGGACTCTGCTGAACTTGGTTACATCAGTTAATGCCTCCAGGCAGCAGTTTTCCTACCTATGAACTTTGGGCTAAAGGAGAAACCACTATATGTGGGTAATTCACACAAAACTACACTATTTCATCTGAAGGGATGAAATGCAACTTCTAACAGTGACAAAAAGCAGGCAAAGCTAAGCCAAGATGCTTCTCTCTCCCCTCTAGAACTCACCCCTCCCCACAAAGAAAGCCCTTGAAACAGGATACTCTGAGGTAGTCCTGACTGGGCTGGACAGCAACCTGTCCTGATCCCCCAGGAGAGGCAAATTTCTGGGTGACTGGTCCCACACAACTAACCCCAGTCCTGCTATCCCTGGCTGACACACTGACAGCTCATCAGAGAACTGCCAGCTTCTTTGCAGCCCAGGACTGAAACAGAGAAAGCCACAGAATGCAAACAGGATGAAGGACAGGCAAAATTTAACCAATGCTTCCAGAAGCTTTTGGGCACCTTGGGAGAAAACGGGGCAATGATAATGGGACATAGACGGAGCATTTTTCCTGGGGAAGGCAGTGCTAGGGTACAAGGATCTAGCTCAGGTGGGACAGCTGACTCTTCTCTAACACGACCACCTAAATGTGGCCCTGCTCTTGAGATTGTCCTGTCTGTCCCAGCTGTTTGCAAAGGTGTGGTCAGCATGCAAAGACTCCAGACGTTATTTTGATATTTTAAAAATGTTAAAGACCACCAACAGCCAAATAAGAATTAACTCTTAGGAGTATATGAATGTTATGTGTGCATGATCTTAAGGGCACTGGAGACTGACATCTTCCCTGAGCCCTCGGCTAGGTGACGAGTGTTACCTGGCCAGGTCGAGGAAAGAGTCCACGGTTTCTTTGGGGACTGGAGGAGGCCCGGCCTCCTCCAGCCCCAGGTCGCTGGATTGCAGGGTCTGCGCACCGGACCCCGGCTTGATAATGAACGCCAAAGCGACGGCGAGCGCGGAGGCACCTAGCGTGGTGAGGCCAAAGTAGGCTACGGCGATGCCGCCCAGACGCCCGAGGGAACTGGCGTCCAGGGAGGCGGCGCCGGACACCAGGCTGCAGACCACCAGAGGCAGGATGATCATGCGCAGCATGCGGAGCAGCATCTCGCCGGGGAAGGCCAGGTAGGTGACCTGCGTGCGGCTCAGCTGGAGCCCGCGCAGGGCCGCACCCAGGCCCGCGCCCGCCAGCACTCCAGACACGGTGAACAGCACCAGCGCGTGGCGCCGCAGGAAGCCGGCGCAGCGCCCCGCGCGTCCCGCCGCTGTCCCTCGTGCGCTGGGCCCCGCCTCAGGCCCGGCCTGGGCGCTGTCGAGGTAACCGTTGGTCTCGCTGCTTTTCTCCATGGCTTGGCCCAGGATTTTGAGCTGGAGGAGGCAAGAGAATCAGGCTCAGGAAAAAGACTGGACTGTCAATGAATGGATTGGAACGAGCTGCGTCCCGTCGGCTCTGGGAAGCAGTTCCCGGGAGTCTCGAGCCTGGTGCAGTAGCAGGTGCGGAAAGGGCGACGAGAGGCTTAACAGAGCACCCAGGGCCGAATGAGACCGCAGCGCCTAGCCCTTCCCGAGAAGCCGCCGTCTGGAGATGATGCAACGCGGAGCAGCTCGGGAAGACTCGCAGGGAAGGAGGGTGGGAGCAAGGGGAAGCCTGGCCCCGCCCC